GTGTGTGTGTGTGTCTGTGTGGGTGCAGGCGTATACACAGGGTCATACATAACATATTTCAATCACACTACTCCCTATGGAGATGATGTATGGGAGGTTTGGGAGCAGGTGCACTCATCAAGTAAGTACGGATGGAAAAATGGCCAAATCAAAGGAGAAAAAAGGGACTGCAAGTTATTGTTTCTTACATAAAAATGAATAAAAATGAATAAAAGAATGCGTAGGACTGACTTAGAAACGAGTCATCCTGAGAGAAATTGAAAGCGTGTGTGGAATGAGGCAGGTGATAATTTACCCGAACACATTTTCATTTAAAAATAAATAAAGAAATAAATGAAAACACAAAACCCACCACAATCAACATAACTGATTAGAAACAGAGCCGGAGTCTTATTTGTCTGCTCACCTTTACACTTAAATGTTTTTGGTTTACAAACACTACAAAATGATGAATTCTGCTGTATTTGCACATGACTGTATTTCTTGCTGATTTACCCACAGGTGTGCGCAGCACCCCGCAGAGCAGCAGACAGTAGGCTCAGCTGCAGGGTCAGAAAGCAGAGCAACACAAACAATAACAGGCAGAATGGGAATACGGTAATTTCCGATGCTCGCATGTACTTTATGCAGATGTGCCAATTTACAACTGAAAACTGTAAATTTCACTCACTTGTTTACTGTAAACAGACAGTTGTCTTGCACTTAGAAATGAGAAATGTCTGTGGTTTTGTCTGTGTGTCTAAATTTAACTGATTAGAAATTTTATATTTTCCTATTAGGGCCTAATTACATTTGCACTAAACAATAAGGATATAAAAGCACATAAAATATGTATAAGAAGTCATTTTCCACTACCAATATTATTTTTACAGGCAAACTAACCATAATGAAAAGCAGAGGCTCTCCAAATTTTCATGATTGAGTGCCAATTTAGGGAGCGAGCGCGACTGAGGGCAGCAACGTGCTTAGAGGATGGTTCATTTGTCAACGTTAGCGAGGTTTACTCTGCAACAATGGCTACAAAAGACAAGCTGAAATTGAACAGATACTTTAGTCCTGTCACTTTATAGTATGACATGGAAAAGTATATTACAAAAAGGCCACCAGTGGCCAGCATGGCCCGCTTCGTGAACTCTAGATATAAAGGATACATTTTAAATTACCAGTACCAACCTGGAACTTACAGTTTT